GGTTGACATATGATAGGGTTGACATATGATTAAAGAGATAATTTATCCATCTTTTTGAAATAAATATCACAGTTTTATGTTGCAGGAACTCCATGCACCTCTAACTGTTGTTGCTGATGGACTTTTCTCCAAGTTCAGGAAACATCTGGTGCCCAACAAAGCTACTGTCTCATCTCATTTTGTTGGCTGTATTTTGAAAGTAAGGACTTTGTATGTATAGTTAAGGAAAAAATGATTAAGAATTCTATTGTATATTTTTTTTCTCCATATCAAACATGCCTCTCAGTAACTTTAATGAGAGATGTGGACATGAAATGAGAATTTATCTTTATAGAAGACATTTAAAAAGACTATTCTTTATTATTTTTTGTTAATCAGAAAATACTGATAGCTAAATTTCTTGAATTATATTATTAAATGTTCCATTAGAAGAAGAACATGCATTTAAATATTTGAATGGGAGTTCCATTAACAACTTTTCATTTTGGCATTGGGAATTATTGAACTATGGTAAGAGTAGTGACTTAACCAAGTTTTTAATATGTTTTTACTCGCAAATTACTGGACTAGTCTGCATGCAAAGTTAGAGAATGGCAAACCAAATGTGAATCTCTAGCTCACTAGCTTGCTGCATATGGATTGTGCTACTGTGCACTAAAAGTTCCACACTGCACTTTGATGCACTCTCATTTCAAATGTATGGCAGAAATGTTAGTGCACAGTAGCATGGTATCTATAACCAGTTAATGTCTGGCATGCTAATGTGCTGTAGATTCACAGCTGGGGTTATCATATATTAACTTTCTGTGTGGATACACTGATGTGTACCCAGACTAAAACCCATTTTTTATCTGGGAATATTTAAGCTGTAAGGTCAAAACTATCACACTAAGTACAAATTCATACCTATTCAAATGTTCGAAGTTCTCAAAACATTACCCCTTAAAACATTTGTCATTGAAGTCAACGACAAATTTCTCATTGATTTCAGTGAAAGGAAGATTGGTCCTATAGTCTAGACTAGTACCCTTACGTCATTTGAAATAAACCCCTGATTTTTATTTAACAATATTTCAACTACTTAAAACATTTATACTGGTTATAACCCTGGTTCAGCAAGGTACATAAGAACATATTTAACACAATTAGTCCTATTGATTACTTGCCTGCTTAAAGTTAAATATGTGCTTAAGAACTTCACTGAATTGGTGCCTGCATGGAGTGGAAGGTGCAATTACTCCCATGGTCATTTCATCTCCTCATCTCTCTTTTGTTCATTTAAACAAAATACTTAAATTGGCCACTTTACATATAAGAATTAATGAAGGATTTAATGAAAGATGTAGCTTACTCTACAAATTAAAATGTATTGTCATAAAACATTCAGGCTGCGTCTAGACTGGCATGATTTTATGCAAATACTTTTAACGGAAAAGTTTTTCCATTAAAAGTATTTGCACAAGAGAGCGTCTATACTGGCATGTGCCTTTGTGCAAAAGATTTGCTCTCTTGCACAAGAAAGATCCGATGGCCATTTTAGCCATTGGGCTTTCTTGCGCAAGAAATTAATTTGGCTTTCTACACTGGCCATCTTGCGCAAGATTACTTGCGCAAGAGGGCTTATCCCTGAGTGGGAGTATTGTAGTATTTGCGCAAGAACCACTGATTTTGTACAGTATAAAGTCAGTGTTCTTGTGCAAATACTCACGGCCAGTGTAGACAGGCGGCAAGATTTTGCACAAAAGCAACTGCTTTTGTGCAAAATCTTGTCAGTCTAGACGCACCCTCAAAGTGTACATGAAGCCAAATTATTGTTTTTGGAACCTGCTTTGCCCACATATAATCTTAATGTTAAATTAATACAACTTGTTTTAATACATTTAATACATAATGCTTTGCCCACATACAATCTTAATGTTAAATTAATATGACTTATTTTAATATGTTTAATACATAAAGGATGTCAGAAAATGATTATGCAAGAGAGCAATATTTGCCGTTTTACTAATACTTTTTCCTTTTTTTTTTAAAGAACTCACCACAGTTTAAAGCCAATCATGCTGAACTTGTTTTAGCTAACCCTAGTCCAGTCCTTATATATCAGATTTCCTCAACTGAGACTCGAGTACTTGTTGATATTCGAGGTGAAATGCCAAAAAATATCAAAGAATATATGATTGAGAAAATTTATCCACAACTTCCTGGTAAGACATTGAAGATTTGTATTTATACTCTTCAGAATAATAATGTATTATTCATCAGGATGGGTGGGGGTTTGTTTTGATTTTGTGTTTTCAGTTTGTTGCTGAATTGTCCATTTTGAAAGTCAGACCTCTGATCAGTTGCAGTGTGTATTTCTAGACATTGTCAGGGAGCTCTCTGTGGAATCCAGAATTCTTCCATGGATGTGGAAGATGGCCATCTAACAACTGAGGGCCCTCCTGCAGCCACTTGGTAATTCACTCCCTGTTGGCTGAATGTCATTTGACTCTGGAAGTACCCAACTCATTTTAGTAGGACATAAGTGCATCATTGTATGGCACTCTTATGAGGGCAGGCCAACAACAGAAACTTTTGCCATCTGTTGGGCTGTGTGCATGTATGTGTGCTTTGGTCTTTTCCTCCCCAACATTTCTACACCAGCAAATGTCCTAGTATAAGATACAGTTACACTGGCATATAAGTGCATAAAACTACTCATATAGTTTATTTCAGTTATTCCAAAATAACGTAGAGTGCATCTACACAGCAAGCCCGTTATTTCAAAATATATTCAAAATAACAGGCTTCTTACTCCAACTTCTGTAAGCCTCCAATTCATGAGGAATAAGGGAAGTTGGGGAAAAAGTGCTCTATTTCGAAATAACTGCGCTATTCAATTAGCATAGTTCAAGTTGTGTAGCTTATTTCGAGTTTAGCCCTGCTCTGTAGACATGCCCTTAGAGAACTGCTATGAGCTATACTAATTTAAATCACATTTTGGGAGATACAAACTGCATCTATGGTAGAAGGATTTGCCATTACCAACTTCAAAGTGGAAAACTTTCCTAAGCTTCACTGTCATGTATGGAAATAGGGCAGGATGGAGATTCTGACTCCACTCCCAGAAAGGGGTCTCCTGTGGGACTGGAAGACCATCCTGAGACCAAGATGGGAATCTCTCTTATGGATTTAGATCAGGGGTGGGCAATAATTTTTGACCAGGGAGCACTTCAGAAATTTTGGAAGTGGCCTTGGGCTGCCCCAGAAGGGGCAGGGCCTCAGGCAGAAGGGGTGGAGCCAGGACACTTCCATGCTTCCCTCCACAGACCTTGATTGGTCTGAGGGTGGGGGAGCACGTGAAGTCTTTGCCCCCACCCTCCCTGAGAGAATCGCCAACTGTTCTGAACAGCTGACAGTCCACTGTAAGTGCCCGCGCCCCTAGCAGTGAGGAGACTTCACATGCTTCTTCCTCCTCCCCCCCGCCCCTAGGTCAGTCAGAGCCTGGGGGGGTGGGGTGAGCACACCAAGTGTGCCCCCACCCTGCAAGGGAGCGTTGCGCTTCGAGTCACCCGCCAGCTGAGCCCCTTGCAGGGTGGGAGGAGACTTCACGTGCTTTCCCCGTCAACCCAGGCTCTGATTGGCCTGTGGGTAGGGGACCGCAAAGTCTCTCACTCCCTGACCTCCACTAATTTTTAATGGGAATGTGGTAGGGTCATTTGAGAACAATAGCTAAATGTACAGTTTTAATGTGCTCATTCTAATTAAAATGCCACAATTATTATTTGTTCTTTTCAATTTTCCTTCCCTCTGCGAACAAAGTGCCTGATGCTACAAGCCTTATATGTGATAAGCTCCAATTTATGTTTAGTATATACAGATACTATGAGGTGCCAAGCGTCCTGTACTCCCAAATAAGTCAGCTGCAATTGAGGGCACTTAGAATCTCTCAGGATTAAGCCCTTGTAGAGTTTGTAGCATTTGAATCCTAATTTTATATTACTTATAGATACCATAATATCAAACATCAGTCTATTGGGTTTATATGTATATTGGCAATTCAGGGCTGCCTCTCTGCGAACTGATTGAGTAGTTTTGTGCAAATTATTTGTCTTGATTTTCATATATCTAATATAATTAAATAGAGTTTTGTTACTGCAGAGCACCTAAAGGAACCATTTCTAACAGCAGTTCGAAATGATCGTTTGAGGACCATGCCAGCAAGTTTCCTACCTCCATCACCTGTTAATAAACAAGGTAGTGTAAGAACAAAAATATTTAATATGGGATTAATGATCATTTAACAGACTAGCAAACAGAAATATTTCTTATCAGTGCTATTTCCAGTCAAATTTGTTTTATCTTTTCTGAAAATAGTATTATAAAAAACACTCCTATATGTGTTGGCACCTATAAACAGTATATTGATAAGAACACTAAAATTAAGTTGTTGATTGGTCCCTTTTAAGCCCCTATTTTAAAACATGCATTTTTTTCATGCTTGTTATCTGTCAAAAGTGGCCTGTTTTTTAAAGGAAAATATAAATAATTTTTATAACCCTTTTTGAGCTATGTGGCTTGTTTTTTAAACATGTTTCCAAGCTGTAAGTTGTTCAGAAGCATTTTACACTGTGATTTTAAGTTATTGCATAAAATGTATGTAGTTTTCAAACTGCAGTGCTTTCTTAAGGCTTTGCAAATTCGATAGAGAAATAAGTTTTGATTTCTAAAAGAGGGAATACTTTGCAGGTGTTCTGTGCAATTATTTTTTTCTATTTTTTCCATCGAGGCGTTCTTCTTTTGGGAGATGCATATAATATGAGGCACCCTTTGACAGGTGGAGGAATGAGTGTTGTTTTGAATGATATTAAAATATGGAGAAACTTGCTTCAAGATATTCCAGATCTTTATGAGGATTCTGCTATTCTTCAGGTGAGACATTCTTTTGAAGTTAGAATTATAATTGCGCTCTTTTTTAGGGTTGCCAACATTATATTTTTAAAAAATAAGGGACTATTTCCTTAGCACATCTTCCCCACCCCTCCTTCTGGTATTAATTATTAATTATTAATAATAATAATAATAATAAATAAGCAGTACTTATCTACTTTCACAGGTGTAAGGTACTTCTTGCTGCTTTTATGCAGCACTCAGCAACTCCTGATCTTCATCCACAGCAGTGTTTCTCAAAGTGGTCCCTGAAACCACTTTGTAAAGGCTGCTAATTGGCTGCTCCGGTGTGTTTACTTACCGGTGTCACAGCCACAGAGCTTCCCAACTCCTATTGGCTCCGTTTTGCCATTTGCAGCCAAAGGGGAGCCACAGTGGCTGCAAGCAGTGAAACGGAGCCTATAGGAGCTGCGAGGCTCTGTGGTTGTGGTAAGTAATCACACCAGAGCAGCCAGTTAGCAGCGTTCTCAAAGTGGTTTTACAGATCACTCTGAGAAACACTGTTCAACAGAGATGAAGAAATAAAGGAGGCAACAAAGGACTCTTGTCAGCCCTATTTCTGGGACATGTCTAGGCTTGTGATTATGCAGTTTATTTAATTTACATAGCATTTCTCTTAACTTGGGTAAACCAGTTGATAGAGCTTTTCTCACCTAGTTAAAGCTGATTTTAGATATTATTGTGAATCTTTAAACTGGCAGGGGTGATCAAAATGGGCTGAGTTGGGGCCATGCCTTCTTCCTTGTGTAGATTCAGAATTATGTAGGGCAGACACTTTCTCCCCCTATCCACTCTGGGGAATTAGGACCCAAGTGATGCATCAGTTCACTGCTCTTGCTTATTGCTACATGCCATTTGGGTAGGAGTGGAGAAGAAACTGCAGAGAGGAACCAGCCAGAGGCCAACAAGAGCAGTTGTAGAAGCAGCCAAAGCAAGGACTTTCTGGACACTTAGGCCAGGTCTACATTGGAGCGGAAGGTCGACTTAAGATACGCAACTCCAGCTACGTTAATTGCGTAACTGGAGTCGACATATCTTAAATCACCTTCCAGACAGCAGGAAGTTGACAAGAACACACTCCCATCAACTTCCCTTATTTTTTGTGAGGATCGGGAGTACCAGAGCTCTTCACTAGACCCACTAAATTGAACCCAGGAAGATCAACTGTGGTAGCATTTGATCTTCCGCATAGCATAGACATGGCCTTAAAGAAGTTTCTAAATTTTTTACTGGACTTTTTCTGCCATGTGGAGATTGGTTGTTTGCTCCAACCCTTCCTCTTCCCCTCCCTCGGTCTCTTCACCTTAACATCACTCTGTACCTGTCCCCCTCACACTCTTTTCCTTTGCCCCTCACCCTTTGTCCTTCACCATCTCCTCTTCCTTCATTTTTTTTTCCGTTTTTAATTTCGGGCCTCCTAACCAAACCCAGTGCAAAACAGTCGGGGCACTTCCTTTGCCCCTCACCCTTTGTCCTTCAGCATCTCCTTTTCCTTAATTTTTTTTCCCCGTTTTTAATTTCGTACCTCCTAACCAAACCCAGTGCAAAACAATTTGGAGCTTGCCGCCATCACATGTTCACTCTGCTTATGTGTTATATCCCATTACTCCCTATGGCTTCTGTCTTGTCTATTTAGATTGCAAGCTCCTTGAGGCTGGGATTGTCTGTGTTTGTGCAGTGCCTCACACAATGGGGCCTCATTTTAGATTGGCACTGCTGCAGTAGACTTAATAATTTGTTTTCCAGCAATCTTTATTTTGGCTGTAGGGATGCCATTTCATACTGTGATCTAATCAGATCTCACAAACTAAAATGCTTGCCTACATGATGGGGTAATGAGTTCCACAGGAGTGAGCGAGCTCATAAAATAGAAAGGGAGGAGTCTGGTGGGAGGGAATTATACTGCAGAATGACCACGGAGGGGTGGGGGGCAGCAAGAGGCCAGAGATGGGGACCAGGACAGCCATACCCCATTGGGCCAGCAGGGGCAGGGATGGAAAAAAAGGACAGATAACTACAATATATTTCAGAGAGTTTTTGTGTGTGTTTGTGTGACATGCATATCCCTCCCAGCTGTGCCTGCTAGAGCTGAAGCAGCCATAGACAGGCGCTTCTCACCTGACCCCAAGCTGCTGTGCTAAGAGGTGGCTAGGGTTGTCCTATTTCCTCTGGGCAGCCTGCACACTGAACCCCACATCTCCAGCCCAACCCCAGAATAATGATTTAAATCAAGAAAAACAAAAATTATTTGAGTTGAGGACTTGAGCAATGCTAAGTAAATTATCTAGTAAAAATATAGAACAGGACTGGCTCAAACCGCCCATCCAGAAATGTGGGAAAACTTAGCACTCCCTGTGGGCACCTACAAAAGGCAATAGTTCTTCACTTGTAAGCAAGCAGTCTGTGTGTAACAAAAGAGAACTTTGATTAAAAGAGAAAGAGAATCAATAATTAGTTTGGGAAAACACTACAATGACATTCAAAAGCAGACAACTAAAACCAAACCTGACACTGCAGTGCATTGGGCACTGCCTTTTGCCTCAGTTTCCCATTTTGTGTTGGGAAAATTCAACAAATGAACCTCCCTTTAACACATCCCTTCCCTATCTCTCTGCTGTCCCAAAGTCCCAGGGTTCAGAGATGGGTTCACAGAGATTCACCTCCCACTGCAGAAAGGGGAAGGCATCGTGCAATGCATGTGTGATTGCTGTTTGCCTCTGCTGCTTGGTGGTTGTTTGCAACTACTGCTTGTCTCTGCCACTGCTTTTAGACACTCGCTTCTGCTGCAATGCCATGTTCTGAAGTTCTGTGCTTAACTCAGAATGTAGTGATTTCACTAGTAATGATTTCAGTGTAATAAAGCTTCATTGCCCGTACAGTCCTCTGCACTGTTTAATTTCAGCATTGTCCTTATACAGGCAGTCCCCGGGTTACGTACAAGATAGGGACTGTAGGTTTGTTCTTAAGTTGAATCTGTATGTAAGTCGGAACTGGCGTCCAGATTCAGCCTGTTGAAACTGATCAGCGGCTGATTCCAGGAAGCCCGAGCAACTCTGCCTCGGGCTTCCTGTAGTCAGCGCTGGTCAGTTTCAGCAGCAGCTGACGTGGGGACGCCTGGGGTTCTTAAGTTGAATCTGTATGTAAGTCGGAACTGGCGTCCAGATTCAGCCTGTTGAAACTGATCAGCGGCTGATTCCAGGAAGCCCGAGCAACTCTGCCTCGGGCTTCCTGTAGTCAGCGCTGGTCAGTTTCAGCAGCAGCTGAATCAGGACGCCTGGGGCAGAGCCCCCTAGCTGCTCTGCCCCAGGCGTTCCCAAGTCAGCCGCTGCTGAAACTGACCAGCAGTGGCTGAATCAGGATGCCTGGGACAGAGCAGCTGGGGGGCTACCGGGGTGGTCCAGTAGCGCCCAGAGCTACTGGTCTGGGGAGACGTGGAGCAAAGCCGCGGAGCACGCGGGCAGCGGACAGCCCAGACGCGCCGCGGCTGTCCCGCTGCCGACGTCCTCAGAGGCTTTGCTTCCCGTCTCCCTGGTCTGCTGGTCTCCAGCAGACCAGGGAGACGGGCAGCAAACCCCGTTCGTAACTGCGGATCCGACATAAGTCGGATCCGCGTAACTCGGGGACTGCCTGTACTAGATTCAAGTTGTAGCCTCTAGATATGCTTCTTAGAGATTCGGATGTGGTAATCAACTGAAACAATGACTCTCAATTGAGTCTGATCAGCTCTGCCATTAAACACTGGACAGGTCAAATAGTGTCTAGAACTTGTTAAGCAGAATTCACACTACCAGATAGGAACACCTATCCCTACTCACACTCATCTTTATTGAGATGTGGCATCTCTGTGCCCTGATTAGCAAGTGAAGTTCATTTTAGGGTGACCTCCTCAATCAGGGCAAGCTAAGTAAGCATAGTTCTGCTGCCCTTTACTAATATAATACCAATAACAACATTTCATGACCCCTGCAGTGGAATATTGTAGTAAGATGAGGGCCTAAAACATAAACCCATGCAGCACAGACCTGGTCTGAGGCTTAGTTAACAATGGGCAAAACATGGCTAACATAAAGCAAAGGCTTGCCTCTTGCTCACAGAACTTGGCATGAACAGGGCTGAGAATGCAAAACACTAATTGGTAAATAGGCCCAGGTGTAGAACAATAATTGGTACTGGTCATAAGTTGAAATCAGATGGTACCACTAGCTCATTAAAAAAGACCTTGGTACCCACTTCTCACAGATACAGACCCTGGTTCAGGAAAGGGTCTAGAATGCTAGCCTGATGGATAGAGATGATCTAATCAAACCAGGAGGTACAGGGTAATGGGTGGTATCTAAGTAGCATCAGAGGGTGGTAACCTGACAACGTCAGAGTGGCAACCTGATATGTCAGAAGTGAGGTGTGACTTGTTGTACCTGTATAAGGTGGTGTCTTGGGGGAACAGCCTTTGAATGACCATGGGGGCAGTGGGACTGCCCACTGATTTAGTCATTCCATTGTGGCAAGTACATGTGCACAGTGGCTCAGAGTCTACTGACAACTATTACTGTACTTTGCTCCACGATAAACCTCACCTGGCACCTTCAATCCTTATCTGGTTTGTGGTCTTTGGGGGCTCTCTTGGGGTCTGCTGTGGAGATTAAGTGCAGACATCAACATGGCACTCATCACTGAGCACACATGCAAGCAGCCTTCTGGTTATCAATGGAGCCAGAGACCTGTGAGGACACTCAGCAGTAATTCTTGACTGGCAGTCTCCCTGAAGAACTGCAAGTATTAGTGATTTGTAAGCTAAAACAGGCGACAGTTGATTATTTTGGCAAAGCTACTCCAACATGCTGCTCACCAAGGCAGAATAGGCATGTCTGTGTAAGCATGGTTTCTGAAGTCTTTTCCTCCTTATATCACTTTGGCTACGTCTACACTGGCCCCTTTTCCGGAAGGGGCATGTTAATTTCAGAGATCGTAATAGGGAAATCCGCGGGGGATTTAAATATCCCCCGCGGCATTTAAATAAAAATGTCCGCCGCTTTTTTCCGGCTTTTAGAAAAGCCGGAAAAGAGCATCTACACTGGCCCCGATCCTCCGGAAAGTAGGAATAAGATCCTCCGGAAAAGGGCACTTTTTCCGGAGGATCGGGGCCAGTGTAGACTTTTTCCGGCTTTTAGAAAAGCCGGAAAAGAGCGTCTACACTGGCCCCGATCCTCCGGAAAAAGCGCCCTTTTCCGGAGGATCTTATTCCTACTCTGAAGTATAGAATAAGATCCTCCGGAAAAGGGCGCTTTTTCCGGAGGATCGGGGCCAGTGTAGACGCTCTTTTCCGGCCTTTCTAAAAGCCGGAAAAAAGCGGCGGACATTTTTATTTAAATGCCGCGGGGGATATTTAAATCCCCCGCGGATTTCCCTATTACGATCTCTGAAATTAACATGCCCCTTCCGGAAAAGGGGCCAATGTAGACGAGCCCTTTATGTCTAAGGAGAGCTGATTCAGAACCTGCTTACAATAATGATGAATTTGCAGAGCACTTAAATTAATGTTTGACCATTAACTTATTACATGGGTGCTGTAAGAAGCAGTAGTTATTTCCAAGGTAGCATTCTTGCATCTCAATCAACATCCTGGTATGGCATTAGGAACTTTGTGTTATTGGGGAAGATGAAAAGCAAAATCATGATCACTTGAGGGTCATTAATGATCTTGTGGCTTTTTTATAAGGTTGTGGATATTACTTTTAATGACCAGGCCAAATTCCAGGTACAATAGTCATAGTGTATGAAATACTTAAAGTGTGTATTTGGATATGTAGGATATGTTGAAGATTCAGTAAAATAAAAATAAATAAATAAATGTAGCCAGGTCACTGATGAGTGTACTTGAAGCACTCAGTTACAAAGCTACTGCCTTCAAATTATGAGAGCTCTGCCATATTTTCCCCACCTAATTAACACTGAGTTAACAAGAATATTTTTCAGCAGTGACAGATATTTCAGCACTTAAATCCCATTTATTTTTTTCAGAGTCTCTAGTTACCAACGTGCTTTGAAACTCTTACCCTACATCTCTAAATACACTCTTCAGTATCAATCGAATGTGATATTTTTCTTCATTTGTTCCTATATAGTTGCTATGCACAATAAATATTATTTTCAGTTCCAAAAAATTTACACAAATTTGGTCCAGAAAGAGTACTTTTAGAGGAAATAAAAAAGTGATGGTGGATTTAGTTCTACTGTTTTGAAGGAGTATACCATTTTAAGCTACACATTCCTCTATGAGTAATCCAAAGCCTATTGAAGTCAATGGAAAGATTTCATTGATGTTAATACGGGACTATGTAGCACTTTAAAGACTAACAAGATGGTTTATTAGTTGATGAGCTTTCGTGGGCCAGACCCACTTCCTCAGATCAAATAGTGGAAGAAAATTGTCACAACCATATATACCAAAGGATACAATTTAAAAAAATGAATACATATGAAAAGGACAAATCAAATTTCAGACCAGAAGGGGAATGGGTGCGGGAAGGTGAATGTCTGTGAGCTAATGATATTAGAGGTGATAATTGGGGAAGCTATCTTTGTAATGGATAAAATAATTAGATTCTTTATTCAGACCTAGGTGTAAAGTGTCAAATTTAAGCATGAATAACAGTTCAGAGGATTCTCTTTCAAGTGCAGTCTTAAAAGGCTTTTGAAGCAGGATGCAGATAATTAAGTTGTTGAGACAATGTCCTTTCTGGTTGAAATGGCAAGAAACTGTTTTTTCTTTGTGATCCTGTCTAATATCTGTTTTGTGGGCATTGATCCTTTGGCGAAGTGTCTGAGACGTTTGTCCAATATACATAGCAGACGTACACTTTTGGCACATGATAGCATAAATTATATTTCTGGATGCGCAGGAATATGTGTTCTTGATCTTATAACTCACTTGGTTAGGTCCAATAATGGTATCAGCAGAGTGAATATGTGGACAAACCTGTGTTCATTTTTTTTAATTGTATCCTTTGGTATATATGGTTGTGACAATTTTCTTCCACTATTTGATCTGAGGAAGTGGGTCTGGCCCACGAAAGCTCATCACCTAATAAACCATCTTGTTAGTCTTTAAAGTGCTACATAGTCCTGTATTTTGTTTCAGCTACACCAGACTAACACGGCTACATTTCTATCACTATTCTTCATTGATTTTAGTGATCTTTGAAATAGGTTTATAAGAAGGAAAATTTACATTAAAATAGTAGAATACTCAAAAATTTTAGTGTGGCAAGTGTAATCAGTGCTTAATTTGGAAAACCAATGTATAAAAGAAGAAAGAAAATAGGCGTTTATAAATATTTGGAGGGTATAAATACCCAAGATGGAGTGCAATTATTTAATGGAAGAGTAGAGTATAACTGGGAGGAATAGAAGGATATCTGAAAAAAACTTGTGTATATTATATCATGTAGTCTTCTAAGGAAACGGTGAAAGCTCCATTAGTTAGAACATCCTTCCTGTTTCTTCTTTATGTTTAAGAGCTACAGTATGGGCTAAGAGAGGGATTGACTTCATGATGTAATCAGTTTCTTCCTTAAAGTTACATGATTTTATTAGTCTCATGGGGCATGTCTACACTAAAAAATTATTTTGAAATAACTAAATTTAAGAACTCCTGAAATAACTATTTTGAAATAAGCTTATTCCCTGAAGAAAGCAGGAGTACGGATTTTGAAATAACCATCCTGTTATTTCGAAATAATGGCCTTGGTCGTGTGGATTTTCTTATTATTTTAGAAAAGGAGGGGTGTTATTTTGAAATAATTCCCTTGTGTAGATCAGGGCGTGGCTATATCTGAATGGGAGACGATATGATCTAATTGGCTTTTAAACAATCTGATAGCAATATTATAGTTGAGACAGATTTTAATCTTTAAATAGAAGGAGTATACAAATTGTAGGAAGATAAGCAGCAGCACCAGTAGACTTTTGAAAGGGAAGTAATTCTTATACTCATTGAGAAGACTTTTAAATATTTTCCTGTACCCTGATGTAAAGATTATTTTTTTTAACCTTTACAGGCAAAAAAGACATTTTATTGGTCAAGAAAAAAGTCTCATTCTTTTGTAGTGAATGTTCTTGCTCAGGCCCTTTATGAATTGTTTGCTGCCAGAGATGGTAAGTACATTTAAGAGAATTTAATTGCAGTTAATTGCAACTTATGAAATAAGTATACTGTGGCTATGTCTGTACTGCCCCCTCTTGCGCAAAAAAATGCAAATGAGGTGAAGCATTGAATATCGCCACTCCTCATTTGCATAATTAATGAGGCTCAGTTTTTGTGCAAAATGCTTTTGCGCAGAAAAGAGCCGTCTACACATTTCCTTTTTGTGAAAACCCCCCCCTGTTGCGCAAGAGCCGTTCTGTATTTTTTTCAGGAAGAACGGCTCTTGCACAAGAGGGGTTTTTTGTGCAAAAATGGAGCTTTGTTAACGGCTCTTGCACAAGAGGGGTTTTTGGTGCAAAAATGGAGCTTCGTTAACTATGCAAATGAGGCATGGCGATATTCCACGTTTTGCCTCATTTGCATATTTTTTGTGCAAGAGGGGGCAGTATAGACATAGCCGCCATGTGTACTCATGGATGAGCATGTATTGCATTTATGATTTTCAGAAGACTTTATAAATATGTGTCAGTGTTAGACCATACCTCCAGACTGTGATTGCTGCTGGTGTCTGATATGAGCTAATATTTTGCTCATAATGTCTCAGCAAACAGCCCAAAGACATTCAGTACAAAGAATTCCATTTAAAAAAAATGAAGATATATTTAATTCCTTTTCTAGATTCCTTGCATCAGCTACGGCAAGCATGTTTCCATTACTTCAAACTTGGGGGAGAGTGTGTCTCGGGTCCAGTTGGATTGCTTTCTGTGTAAGTTATATAAAATATTAATACACTATTGTACTGTATCAGGAACTAGCATTTGCCAAAGTTAATGGATTATGATCCATTAATGCAGACCTTGCTCACCCTGAGTGGTTGTTTGCAAGGGCAGAAGGATCCACACTTTAGGATTGGTCCATATTTTGTTTTGTGCCTTTCATATAAAGTGTGTCCCAAAATACTGAAGCGTTAGAAGATCACAGTAACACAGTTGCAGACAATAAGTAAGATATATGGACAGGAGTGTTGCAGTGAGTCAAAGAGGTTCAGGATGGCAGAAGATTTGATCATAACTGATACTGTTCATTCATCAAGAGCTGAGTTTATATAAACATGTGGAAGAGGCTAGTTCTAGATGAATGGAGGTAGCAGGGATGGAAGCAGAGAGGGACAAGTTCTTTGAAGAAGGTTAGTATGAGTCTCTGAGTTTCGTTTTTTTTTTAAATGGGATAGTTTTGGACTGCATCCTGAAATGGATAAACAATGGACCATGCTTCTTTGAGCATGTGAGAAGATAGGCTGCTTCATTCCTCTTTCAGTGGAGTCATGAGAGCTGGGCCTTTGGAGGCTACCAATATGGGAGTTGAAATAATCTAGATGGAAATGAAAAGGGCAGGGCTGAGTTTGTAGCAGAATTGGAGTGGAGGCAATGATGCATTAGGGCAATTATTTAGCACATAGCAGCTCCAAGTTACACCAAATTCTTCCACTGTTGTAGACAGTAGGGCTGGGATTGTTTAGATCAATTGGATACAAGTAATGTGCTATAGAATTAATATGTAAGACTGAACATTCTATCACACTTCAAATTTCTCTATTAATGCACTTTCTCTTCTGTCTGTACAGCTTATCTCCTAAACCAATGGTATTGATTGGCCACTTCTTTGCTGTTGCGCTGTATGCTGTTTATTTCTGCTTTAAATCTGAGTCCTGGATCACCAAGCCACGAGCGTTTTTCAGTAGTGGTGCTGTACTTTACCGGGCTTGCTCTGTAATTTTTCCACTTATTTGCTCTGAAATGAAGTATATAGTGTATTAAATATTAGAGGAAAATGAATGGAGGAAGAATATGTGAAACTCACCGAGCCTTTAAAGTCTTCTGGACAAGAACTGTTCAATATTGTATTATGTTCACATCTGTTTAAAGGGAAACACTCAATTCAGGATTTTTGTGGGTATACGTACCTATGTAAATATTATGTTAATTTACGATGTACGTTTAAAAATTATTGAACTGTTTACAAGGACCATAATTAACTGTTGGTATATGGTAGAAAAGTGCCAGTTCTGGCAGAGGGCGGTTTCCTCACTTTATCCATTGCATAGAATGCACTATTACTGTTGATGATGTTAATAAAATGAAGAGTGAACAGTTTAAGTCATTTCCTGCTGCATCCTTTAATATTTCCATGGAATGTTTGTTTTCTTTATTTTTGTTTTCTTTATTACTGTGAAATATTGTAAGAAAATTCTTTCATTTACTTCATTAAAAGTCTTTGCCTCTATTTATTTCAGTTGCAATTAAAATAACAATCTACCTTAAAAGAAACTGTCAAGGGGTGTCAGGTTAAAAAAAAAATTACTATCTACTATCTAAACTTGATTAGTCACCAATGTCATCTTATATTAAATAGCTAATTTAAATATAATTCCTCTCAATGTTACCTTTAATAGTGTCCTTTCCTCCACATGATTTTGTTTTGTACTCCCCTTTCTTTTGATTGTGTTATATAATACTGGATGGCTCTTCCTTTTTGGCTCTGTCAAAAACCCTTGTATAAACATCCCCAAGAGGATGGAAAGTAATGACTGGTCACGCTTTTTGTGTGTGTGTGTGTTTACAAATTATAAAAATCGGAGTGTTTTTAAAAAATGACATATTACCCAGCTGTATATAAACATAATTAACTTTTCTGTGAAAATACTTAGGGGGAGACTTTTAATATTTTATTTGATAAATATTTATCAAATAATCTTTTTCCAGCAAGAACAGAAACGTGTATATTTTTATAATGAATATCGCCTCATGCCATATTGAAATTAAGCATAGCTACATTAATAACAGATAACTTTACTGAAAGGAAAAACAATAATATTTTCAAATACCATTATATATATGAAAATTAAACAATGCCACTTTATTCAGTGTTTGCTGCATTTATATTTAAAGTTTCATATTTTTTAAATATTATGGATTAGTATTCTTAATGTACATTTTATATTTAAATATTCTTTGCAATCAGTCTCCTGCAAACCAGGGGTCAATGATCCTGAGCCAAATACGCACCCCTAGCTAACTAACTTAAAGTTATGCCACTTATTGTTGTACATGTGTCACTTTCTCTGGGTAATGAATGTTTTAAGGTCCTGACTTAGCAGGGACTACTGGCATGCTGAAGGTTACACATGTTTAAGTACCTGAGACAGCCTATGGACAAATACTACTGCAGAAGGACAGACACTGCTCATTTGAGTTTGTAATAGGGAAACAAGAAATCTTGTGTGTGCTTGTGTTGAAGAGCAACTTGCAAATCTAACTTAAGTGAATATATACTTTGTATACAGAATAAGAAACAAAACATTTCTTAAACATAAGTTGTTAAATGAACTGCCAATCCCCACTCATCCCTGATACTGAAGCTGGATCATGCCAAACTTATTCCATTTGCATCCATTTAATTGAGACAGTGTTGGCTCTCTGAACTTTAGGGAGCCCTCAATTAGGATTATTTATTTGGCCAAGTGAAAGAGGTTTTTGATTTGATTGCTAGCTTGGAGAATTCAGCTGATGTTAAAACTGAATTCAGGACATTTTGAATTATGTGCTACGTCTTTTGTCCTCTGGTCTGTCCCTGTTTGTTGAGGCCCCATTTAGCAGTGATCTAGGTGTTCCATCCTCAAATCCCCGTGAAGCCAGTTTTCTCAAATTTCATAGTAATAACATTTGGGCTACGTCTACACTGACATTAAAAAAAAAATTACTATCTACTATCTAAACTTGATTAGTCACCAATGTCACCTTATATTAAATAGCTAATTTAAATATCATTCCTCTCAATGTTACCTTTAATAGTGTCCTTTCCTCCACGTGATTTTGTTTTGTACTCCCCTTTCTTTTGATTGTGTTATATAATATTGGATGGCTCTTCCATTTTGGCTTAGTCAAAAACCCTTGTATAAGCATCCCCAAGAGGATGGAAAGTAATGACTGGTCACGCTTTTTGTGTGTGTGTTTACAAATTATAAAAATCTGAGTGTTTTTAAAAAATGACATATTACGCAGCTGTATATAAACATAATTAACTTTTCTGTTAAAATATTTATGGGGAGACTTTTAATATTTTATTTGATAAATATTTATCAAATAACCTTTTTCCAGCAAGAACAGAAACGTGTATATTTTTATAATGAATATCACGCCTCATGCCATATTGAAATTAAGCATAGCTACATTAATAACAGATTACTGAAAGGAAAAACAATAATATTTTCAAATACCATTATATATATGAAAATTAAACAATGCCACTTTATTCAGTGTTTGCTGCATTTATATTTAAGAGCATCCATGCCAGTATAGACGTTCTCAGGCGCAAGAAAGTTCTGATGGCCATTTTAACCATAGGGCTTTCTTGTGCAAGAAATTCATGTTGCCTGTCTTCACTGGCCTCTTCTGAAAGAGCTCTTGCACAAGAGGGCTTATTCCTGAGCGAGAGCGTCAAGAGTTATGGCACAAGAAGCCCGGAGTTTATACATTAGAACGTCAGTTTACTTGCGCAAGAACATGCAGCCAGTATAGACAAGCAGCAAGTTTTCTGCGCAAGAGCAGCTGCTTTTGCGCGAGATCATGCCAGTGTAGACACAGCCTGTGTAAGAGACAGTTCTTCCTGGGACCGTAACACTGTGTTGACTGGCCTTAGAGAGCCTCTATTTGAGCCTGTGGCAATGTATTGTCTGTCTCTCCTGTGCCAGAAGACTGCCAAGCTGAAGGTCTTATTGCTAGTGCCCTTGTATATGCAGGTTTTCAGAGAACAAGTGGCCCTATGCTGCTTCCACAATGTTTGTCTAAAGAGGTTTTACAGTATCACCCTAACCAAATAATGTACTTACCATTAAAAACAAGGAATTATCTGGCACCTTAAAGACACAGAAGTTAACTGCAGCCCATGAAATCTTATGCCCAAATAAACTTGTTAGTCTTTAAGGTAGCACAGGATTCCTTATTGTTTTTGATGAAACAGACTAACATAGCTACCTGGTACTTAACATTGTTCTTTCCTAAACCACATTCAAATGCTAGTGAACAGTTCTTCATACATTGGATCAAACAATACTTAAATCCCATGGTCACAAACCATGTTAACCCTAAATGTAGAAATTGTAAAATACGACCACCAGTGCTTGCAGGAGAGACACTGTCATTGTAAAGGGTCTCGGATGAGTCTCTTTATTATTTTGAAATATTATTCCAGTGGAAGCTGGAATCTTTTGGCCAGCCTAGGTGGTGGCCAAAAGCTGAAGTCACTAAGAAACTGACAAAGAGCTGAAATCATTAGGTTTGGCCCAGAGCCAGACCCATCATGAAATACGACCACCAGTGCTTGCAGGAGAGACACTGTCATTGTAAAGGGTCTCGGATGAGTCTCTTTATTATTTTGAAATATTATTCCAGTGGAAGCTGGAATCTTTTGGCCAGCCTAGGTGGTGGCCAAAAGCTGAAGTCACTAAGAAACTGACAAAGAGCTGAAATCATTAGGTTTGGCCCAGAGCCAGACCCATCATGATAGGAGCAGTGGCAGGCGGACAGCGGGGCGGCTGGCAGGAGCAGGTCAA